CCTTCTGACTTGGAGGTCGCTTGCTCTGTCATCTGAGATACACAGAAAACATTGGGAAGTCAGGTCACTTTAGGTTTATATGTGACTAGCGTTCTGCGCACAGCTAAGTACGATCGGAATTGTAGAATACATTGTGGGTGAGAGAAAGCGTTATGTCCGTTATGGACTAGGGAGTTCTACCAACGATTTAACTTTACTTTTTGTGAATGTAACGATGACCAAATGAGTTTGGGTACGTTTCTGGGTTGGTTTTGAAGGAAGAAAATACCTTGTACGTTTGGGTCGTAAAAGAGCAATGGCATATCGCACCTGGGAACAAAAAAACGCTAGACATTTCTTGAACGCGCACTGTTTTGTTGCGAGTCGAAGGGCCAAATTGTAAGAGATCACCGCGCCTCACGAACTATCAATGAGGTGGTCTTTACTTTAACTGAACTCTTGTGCAAAACTTGCTGTAAAATAACCACAAGATAGATTACATTTTGTGCTTCATCCGGTGAAAATTGAAATGAAACAGTGACAATGTTCGGGAAACGAAATTATGCTTCGTTTGAATTTTAACAGGAAGCCAAGTCACAAACCACATTTTTGAAAGGAAATGCAGAACTGCGGTACCGGATTGAGGTAAGCGTGAAATTTTTTTTTTGTCTAGACCGTTTATCAACAGCAATCCCTCAGTCAGGCTTTTTTTACGGATGGCCACTCCCTATATAATACCTCCAAAAATAGTCCTTTGTGATGCTTTGAAAGTTTTAATGATTTGTTCGCGAAATTGTGTGAAAGATATGTTTTTTGCGTGCGCTCTAGCTCTCGCGTTGTTGTATCGTTTCATTCTCAAAATGTTGATTATCCTGAATCTACTTTTTGAAATACTGTATCTTTATTTGCCTCTTAATTTTTCTGACGTTTTTCTTCAGACTGAACGCCGCGAGAAATACGAGAAGGAGAATTCTCTCACATTGGCAGACGAAGTAGACAGGGTCAAGATGGAGGTGGAGCAGGAAAAAGCTGAGTTACAGGTAAGAATTCATTAATTCAACTGTTGAAGTCTAGATTCCTGAATCGGACGATACAGCAATAATCTATTTCCATCGAGTCGATGTTGTGAAGAGTGAATGAGCCCGCGGTTTTCCTTGCATGACAGGACTTTAAAACTCGATGAGAGTCTTGCTCAAAGTTTTTTTCAAATCGAAATTGTTAGATTTAAGACACGGACACCCTTTGCTTGTGTTTCGAATACTTAAACAAAGAGAACCAAACGTTCACATACGCTGACAAGTTATTTTATCATGTGGAGAAAATTTTGGTTTTATCGACTGAGTTGATAACGTAAATTGGCCACCGTAAAGAGTTTTAAGGCTATAATACCAAAATTATATTGAGTTATACTCCCCCAGCGACGCAGCACCACAGTTTCTTTAGAAACCTATCCCCTTTACTATACCATGTCGCTTGTTTCTCTTAGTTGAAGGCTGCAGAGGGCGTACAGTACAGCACTGATCAGGCCATCAAGCTAGAAATGGAGCTGGTGGAGTTGAAAGCCGAACGGACTGTTATGTCATTGCGGGTAAGAAAATCTTCGTCAATGTAAAAAGTCTTCTTACTTTTAAAAAACCAAACCGACGATTTGTATTGTCACGGGCTGATCAGCCAATGGGTGCAACAGTCAGGGTAAGAAGTGTGCCCTGACTGTTGTACCTATTGGGTGGTCTGACTGGGGTATTATCGATTGGACAATTCATTTTGGGTGCATTTCGATTAAGTGTTGTCAAACCAAAACTAAAGTAATCACAATAGCCAATGAGAACAGAGGAGGATGTCGCAAGGAGCCAATGAGAACTCACCATAAAACAAGCAACCTTCCCAGGGTGCGGAAAACTGCATGTGATTAAGTCGCGATTGGTTTACTGTTGAATCTGATTGGTTAAAAAGATGGTGCGAATTTCTGGACCAATCACAGTGCGAAGTAAAGCAAATCCAAGGTAATTCCGTTTAGTTTTCACGCTCAATCAAAATTTTCCTGTAACTGCTAAATGCAGTTTTATCAAACGTTTTTGCCCTTGTTAATTTTGTGGGCTTGACAACCAGTCGCTGTTCGGGAAATGGACCCGTGCTTCTCCCTCTTAGAGTAGAGACCTCGACCAAATTTGAGAAAGTGGTGGAAACTGAACATATTAACCATGTAGTGATGGTTTTTAACTTAAATGTTAATACAAATTCCAAAATTAATTATATCGAACAAGTCAATTAAATCAATATGAGGACAGCATACAAGATTCCTTAGGATAAGCCGTCTCGATTACTTACCTAGTTAAAAATTTAGTGCTGAAAACAATTACAAAAATACCTTTAAAATGCTTAAGTTACTTAAGTATTGTGGTGATGGTTTTTTTGTTTGTTTTATGATTCTTTGTGATGGTTTTTAAATTTTTTTTTATTGTGGTGATGGTTTTTATACAGATTCAATCAGTAACAGAGGAGAAAAAGCGTTTGAAAGCAGACTTGGACGAAGCTTACAAAAGGCATAAAGAAGAACTGGAGATTCAGCAGCTTCAACATTTTCAGGTGAATATTGGTGGAGAGGGAGAAAATTGGCTGAAAAAAGGGAAAGAGGGATAATGAGTGGCTTAGCAAGAAGAGATATTTTTTCTAATTTTTTTGTTTGCTTGAAGAGAGGTTTTACCCCCCTCCCCTCCCTTCCCACCAGCGCATAGAAGCTGGTGGGGAGAGGCGTACGAATACGATTTGTAACGCGTTAATTTTCCTCTTGCCCAAGTAACTGCCCGCTGAGGTAGTCTTGAAGCATGAAATTTTAATAACGTTTTTTTTGACAATTTTGTACAGACGTTTCGTAACTACCGAGAAGTGTTCGAGGATCAGAAAGCAGCCATTGAACAGCGCTACCGAACGCTGCTAGAAGAAGCGATACAGGATGCTGTGTTCCTATCCACAAGGAATCAGGAACTTATGCACGAGAATCAGGTGCTAAAACAAGGTAACGAAACAACCACGTTGTGACTTGATACTGACATCTTTCCATATTGGTATAGTAGGTCGTGAAGATTGCTGTATATTATTGAGCGTTTTGGTAATGATTTAATTGAAATACATAGTAATGCTAAGTTTTATTCCTGCTCGTTAGAGTAATCCTATAAACCCTAAGAGTGACTAGCATCTAATTTCTCCTTACAATATCACTCCTGAATCACACATTAAGGTCATGAGAATAAAGGAAATGGTCACCAGGGAAAGAAGCTTTTGATTGGCAAACAGATTCTCCTTGTCAGCACCTTAGGAAATGTGTAAAGAACAGTGTGGAGAATATGCATACTGATGTTAGGGTGTAAAGGGTTAAGTGTCGAAAGTAATCCGGGACTACTTCGGTTTTGCTTGCTTCGCTCTGTGATTGGTCCAAAAACTCGCGCCATCCTCTGACCAATGAAAACAAAACTAAATGCAGCTTTAACTTGGTCGCTCGTTTCCTGTTTTAACTTTGAGTTGTCATGGGCCCTTTGTGAGATTTTCCTTATCTCTTTTCAATACGTTTGTTCTCTTGTTTTCTCCTCTGTAGAAATGGCTGAACTGAAAGACCAAGTGTCACTAGGGGGAGCGGATTAGAGCCAAGTATAGTTAAAAATGGATTTCCGACTGAAGGAGTTCTTCCATCCATGAAGTGAACTGTAAACTTTTTGCTGCTTTAACTTTTTTACCTCTTGACAATCTTATTTGTAAATACATTTGTTTTATTTATTTGCACGTATCGTAAGTCAACGCTTATTTGTGATGATGACAACAGTCTTTTAAATAAGCTTTATTCGCCTGCAGGACGGGTGATATGGGCAGGTTCTCTAGTTCCTGGGTTAATATAAGGCGGACACGAGCATGAAGCATGCTCGCGCCAGTCTTTTAATAATGTTCCCGCCCCCACCCCACTCAGGTCGTCAGCTTAGACCCTTGCACCATAAGGGTCTGTATTTTAATGTAAGTTTGTTTGAAAAATAGCAATCAGTCATTCGGTTTTTTTTTGTTTTTCGGAATGAATTTATTTGATATTTGGCGAGTCCGTCGCTTATATGTGGTGTCTTTGTAAACTGAAAGAAGATTTTTCGATTCAAAGAATTGTTGATGTGATTGACCTGTACAACTGCAACAGTGACTATGTTGATATTTTTTTAATAATCGACTCTTCTCTGGTTTCAGATTTTTCAGATCTTTTGCGATTAAAATTGATTTGTCTTTTCATTTTCAAGTAGCTTACATCCACAATTTTAATTTATTGAATAGTTTCAAGATTTTTAAAAGCTTTGAACTCTTTATCGTACGTTATCTGTAGTATTTATGCGTAAGAATCTGTGCGTACAATGGAAGAATAAAACTTATTTTTTCCTAAATGGGGTGTGTTATAGTCTCTTTGACACTTAAGAGAAACATAGCAACCAGTTTCTTAACCCTGTACACCCTAACATCAGTATGCAAACTCTCCATACTATGCTGTATACATTTCCTAAGGTGCTGACAAGGAGAATTTGTTGAATAATCAAGAGCTTCTTTAGCTGGTGATCATTTCCTTAGTTCTCGTAACGTAAATGTGTGATTCGGGGATGATATTGTAAGGAGAAATTACGTGCTAATCACTCTCAGGGGTTAAAGGGTTAACAATAGGGCATGCCACCCAGCATTATTCCGCAGAGTGGAAAAATTAAAAAAATCAATCAATTAATAAATCAATAAATAATAAATTAACATGCACTCTCATTGTGTGCAAAGGAAGAAGGAGAGTGAGCTAATTCTCCTCCAGTCCTCTCTTTTGCTGAGAATTACTCGGAATGAACTTGTTGCTGACGCTGGTTTTAGGACAGGTAAGATTTTGATTCACTCTTTATTCACTTCTACTTTTAAAATGTCCCACAAACGGTGTCTGTCAAGGTTGGACAAACAGTGTCCGTCAAGGTTGGGCGGGTGACATTTTGCGGGAAAGGAAAGATTTCTAAAAATCGGATCTTATTGATGGGCGGGTGACATTTTTCGGGAAAGGAAAGGTTTTAAAACTCGGATCTTATTGCTGAAAATCTAATTGATATGAAGTTCGATACATCTTGCTAACAAGCCTTGTGAGAAGCTCTTCTGTTTGATCACAATCTGACATCTTGACCGGAAATGGCTTCCATACAGTAATTATCTGCAAAACAATATCAAAGTTAAGCTGTAGGACAAAGCCAAAAGGGTTTTCCATGAAAATGGACCTGTTTAGGTACAACTGAGTTCAATGTGAATAGCAAAAAACAATTTGGTCAAGGAGGATTGTCGAAGAGAAAAAAGGAAAAAAGGTCCTGGAGTAGACATTTTCCTAAACCCTTTGCAATTTTCGCAAGGTCTTGTCTGCAAAAATATACTGGCACGATAGTCTTTGAACTCGTAACTCTCCGGCGTAAAAAAGCGAGTGCTTGTGACATTACTAAAACAAGCGACCATGTGCAAGCATTTTCCCATCAATGAGGTAAAAATAATATTTCCCATATGAGTGCATTTCTCTCACCTCCTCGGGCAGTTTGTATGGGTAAAGAACATTACCAGGATACGAATTAAGGATGTTGCCTTCTCGTACTCTGGGTGGCGTGCGCTTCCTTAGCGGTTTGGGGCAGAAGTCGACACTGTATGACGACGGACCAACTTTATGTGGACCTGGTAAAATTTCCTTGCGTCTGAAAGACATTTATAACGTAACGGCGGTACTTTAACGGGTATTTTCTTTTCCGGGAGGCGAGCACTAAACTCTGGCGACAAATTTTTACAGGTAAATCAGATGAAAATTAGGGCGAGTACAAAAGCTGGCAGACGATGGGCCACAACGCTAGCAAGAATAACAAGCGGGATGAGTCCATGGAGTAGTTTTCACGGGCGATTCTTCGGTTACCTTTTCATCCTGTGTTAGTGTTAATATATTGGATGGCAGCTCATTCGAGTTGAAGGGAGGTAGCTGGAATTAGGTCATTATTTATAAACTGGGGAGGGGGGATTGGAGGATTCAAGTTGGTTGATAAAATTTACCTGATCCCCCATTGAACTCTGCAATATTCTCGTGATACCCCCCCCCTCCCCACCACAGATGATAAACATAATATGACTGGTCCTTTAACTAAAGAAACAGGAATCATTGTTCCAAATTTGCAAAAAAAAGAAAAGAAAAGAAAAGAAAAAGATTAAACTGTAGTGTGTGGAGTTCAACATTGAGGTGGAGAAAAAAGGGGGAGGTAACCTCAGCGCTCCACGGTATTACCACGTTATCACCTACCTCGTGCTTGGAGCAGGAGGACCGAACAATCCTTGATAACTTTCTCGAAATGTTGTTGTCATGGCTGCAACTGATGGCGGTTGGGGCAAGGAACAAGTTACATTGTTCTCAGCTATGTCTAAAGGAAATGTCGAAACGCGTATATTACCTTAATTATAGTTCTTTACACTAGCTGCGTTGAAATTAGCAGGTTTGAATCAATTGCTTCATTGAAATACTGATTACCTTTTTTGACGTCAGTCTTTCTGTTCACTCCATTTGAGGGTTGTAGAGAGATCGAGATCGTCGGAAGTTTTTCGATTTGACCTCCGCCTGATGAAAATTCACATAATTTTGGTTATGAAGTGTTTTCAGATCAGAACAGATTGATCCCGGACCCGTTTACCGAGAGAGGCGCGAAAACTACTTAGCATTCTGTGCAACTTAATTAAAGTACAACTTAAAGATTCCCATGCGTGCTGCATGACCGATAAGCGATTTAGAATTGGACTTCTTGCAAACTAACTGAATTGATTGAAAACCTTGTTAATAATATCATTCAACCTGCATGATGTTTCGTCAACTCTTGTTTGTGTCCAGTTGTCTCGTTCGCTGGATAAAGCTGCGGCAAGCTACAGGAAGTCATCTTCATGTCGATATTGTTTCGATACCAGTATTCAGTTTTTTTTTTACCGGATCACAGGAAATTCATCTTCAGCGTTGTTCCTATTCTCTCAGTTTTCGAAAGTAGTTTAGATGTCTTGCTTTGCTGTTTTTAGCGCTTAACGTGCTAATCGCAGAGAATCGATATTCAATCAAGAAGAAGAGGTAAGCTCCTTTTGTTTTAAACCCATTGTCTTGAGGATAAGATATTTTGAAGTGGCATTTAATTGGCTTAGTACTTTGTTTATAAGGAATAAATCGAATGACAAAGCAGAATTTTGTTATTCGCGCATTTCAATTAAGTTTGCCTGAACTCAACTATGGCACACAATCGTTCTTTAATTTCCCTTTTCGCCAATCGAATACCAAATCGTTAGAGTTCGATTCAAATAAAAATTCAGTCAAGCTAGTTTTATCTTCGTCAAACAACCAGAAATTACATTTCATTTAACACTTTTTGGCATTTGATCCTCATTATGCGTCTTCGCACACAAAAAAGTGGATGACAATCACTGACAGAGATTATGGTTACACTTCACACCCTTGTACACAACAGGTAGACTGAGAATTACTTTATTTTTGTTATTTTAATTTTTTTTTTACTTAAAGCTTACAATTAAAAAAACCGATCGTTTAAAATCATGTATAAAAAACAACACTGAAGGAAACACTTTCGACTACAAGAAGTGCGACAAAAAGGAATTTACGTTTTCTTACTGAGACTGATGTGACTTTCTTATGTGCGTGCGATTTGTAAAGACACGACTTTCTTAAAATTAACCGGCAAAAGGTACTTAAATTTATGGATTTAAATAAAGTGTTAGCGGACAGAGGAATTTCTCTACTTCAACAAGTATTAAAACTAGACATTTGTACTTTTATCTTTTTTTGGGATTTCTTTGTATCTTTTTATTTAGGACCGTTTTCTCGTTTCCAAAACTCGTCTCGCCGTTTCCTGGCTCGTTCAAGTGTCTCCGATGCAGTCGATGCGCGACTCGACATCGCAGACACGGACAACACGTCATCATCTCTTCCTCTCACACTACCCCCGACGCTAGCCGGTGGACTGACTTGACGGGGATCAGGTGGGGATATGTCCACCCTGCGGGGAGGTGTGAAGGACCTTGCATCATCTCCTAATCGCACACTCGAGGCCGGGCTGGTAGGGCGAGCTTCCCTATCCTCTCTAGGGGGTGTGCTATACCCATTCCGGCCGGACTTGCTGTATCCCCGCGAAGCAGGTTTCTTTTTCCTCGAAAGCGACACAGACTTCTCAAAGCTATCGTTCAAGATATCAGTCGTCACATCAAGGTGGTGCCGTCGAGATGTTCGGGTATCTCGAAGTTCTGGAGTCGGAGATCGACCTCGTTCAAGAATCATGTCGGTCCCATCATCAGATGTGGCGTCCGTTCCCGAGCCTGCTCGCCTATCTTCGGAACCTGTCGGAGAGCGAGAGCGTTCTTCGGTCCACGCTTCGCGTCTTCGTGGTGGCGACATGCTTCTTGCTCGGGATCGTGGGTGTGCTGTACGATTTCTGCTCTTTTCCTCAGCTGAGGAAAGAGAACCCGCACGTTCCGCCTGTTCTCTGTTGATTTCATCTAGGCTCTCGCGAGAGAAATGTGTTCCTCGCGCATTGTGCGCGTAGCCATAGGCCTCGTTACGACGATGAAGTACCTGTGGAATGGAATACTTGATCAGACTCTCAATAAACAAACTACATGGAATGTTAGATCTTACTAAAAGTTTAGCTGTGAATCATTACAAAGATAACCAAATAAACATCCAAGGTGAATGTATTTGAATGAGAGAACAGCTGGTCAAGAGAATTTACCTGATCAAACCAATCGGGCGTATCCTTCTGTTTATCCTAGAAAAGAAAAGAAACTAATTAAGAACAACACTCAATTCCAAGAAATCAAGTTCTTGATCGGATCGAAAGATATGTTAATCTCCTACTCAGAGTACAACTATAGCCCCTCAGAGACTACGTTATGAACGGTTATTGCATGGCGCGACGGCAAAATTTGACCTACGGTCGCATCAGCTGCAAGAGGAACGAGGAGGTGGAAGAGGAAGACTGCGCCGATCACTTTTGCAGTTTCGTTGAAAGTAAAAATAACTGTATTCCTAGATATACCAGTTTTTCCCCTATCATTGCACGTTATGATGGGCAATAGGCGCAATCTCCTCGACCAATCAGATCTGCATTTCTGCATCTGCATTATCTGCATTTCCCGCGCTTGCAGTGCTTCGTTAATCCGTTTCTCAAGGGAGCGCCCCTGAAACTCAGGGAAAGCAGTTGCGTCTACATCGAGCTCTAATTTTGCTCTCTTTTTCTACTTAGCTACAATAAAGTTTGGTTTTAGCTTAACGCCTCTCAATTTTGAGGCATCCCCCTGGCTTAGCGGCTTAAAGTACCTCAGGCAACGTTATCTTAGAGGTCCAATCATTCCGATACCAGTCCTTCACTTACCCTTACGTTATAGGTTGCCTCCGTGCTGATTGGAGTTTCTATCCATAATCCATCAACGTATTTAAACTTCGTTGGCTGAACAAAGCGGCTTGAATACTCTGAGTCAAAAACTCTAGAATCAGAAAATAAAGAGCATAAAGAAAGAGCAAAGCATAGGAAGTTAAAATTACAGGCTCTGAACAAAAGAAAAAACTTATGAAGTCATCTCTGGTCACAGCGAATATCTTCGGAAAGACCACATGGTGTCCGTAGCTACGAACGTTCGCATTGGAGGAATGAGTCAAGAAAATCCATTATAATTCTGCTTTGTATCATTGCTTTCCATCTTTATTCTGAGCAAATTACTCAATAATGTTTGAAAACAGCCGAGAATTTATAATACAGTTAAGCAAATACTCAATTCACAAAACACTCAGTTAAAAAAAGCAGTGAATCCAAATCTACGTTATCCTTATTTAGTGAGAATAAACGAATAAAATCGTTACTTAGAGGAAATGACTGCAATTCTGAAAAAATGCGGGTGCGCAGCACTGAATGTTGCTTCAGATCTAGCTCCGGTTCTTTGAAAAGTGGATAACACTTTTTAGTGGATAAATCAGTAGCCGATGGAGAGTGCAGTACGTTTTGTTGACACTCGTCTGCTGGATAGTGATTTATCCGTTGGATCGCGTTATCCGCCCTTTAAATTGAACAAGTGAGCCCTTGACTGTTTTGTTTATTGAAGTTTTAATCGGGGATTACGGTATGCGCAAGTTGTGGGGTGTCTACTTCAGCGGGGTATCTGCTGGGAAGTATTATTAAAAATCAAATTACTTTTGTTGGCGTTCTGGTGACCTTAGGTACTGAGAGTCTTCTGAAGGCCTTAGAAGTCTTGTATCACCAATACTTGTGGCTCTTCGGATCCCAGCAGGGGGAAGGCGATCTGGGCTGACTTCTGTTGAAAAAGAAAAGCTGTCGTGATAAATAAAATTGATGGGGGTGACCGTTGGAAAGAATGGAAAGAGAGGAAGAATTGAAGTAAATTGCTAGTTGTACTGAACAGAGTCCAAAGCCACTGAGTTAACAGGCTTTGTTTCAATGATGTATATAATGTAACTGATGAACTGTGAGTATATGTAGGTGTTGTATGGTAAGTTGGAAAAGTCTTGCAATTCATGTCGAATTAAGTTGGTGGTAATAATATCAGATGAAACAAATTACTGCAAGTGTGCATGCATGTCCATTTATGTATATTTGGATGAATTCATTGAAAAATTTCTTCACAATAATTTTCAAATTGAGCTTCATCAACCCTTAAGCCCCTAAGCGTAACTAATGCATGTAATTTCTCCTTACTATATCACCTCTGAATCAAACCTGAAAGTCTTGAGAATAGAAAAGATGATCACTAACTAAAGCAGCTCTTGATTATTAAACAAATTCTCCTTGTCAGCCTCTTTGGAAATGTGTAAAGGACGGTATGGAGAATATGCATACTGATGTTAGGGTGTAAAGGGTTAAAGAAAATAAATGCACATGTAAAAAATGTAGAAACCTTGAAATATGTGAGCGGAATGTGGTTTCATTTTCATCAACCATCACAGGTACAGTGTGTATTTCCTTACCTCCTTTCCTACCTCCAACTATCTTTGGTGGACTCTGCTGTTTTCTGGGTTTGCTCTTTTTAGGGGACTTTGATTGTTTCTTGTAGTCCACGTAATCCAGTTTGTAAGTGCTTCTCCTGTTGATTCTGTCTGGCACGTAAACTGGCTGCTTTCTGTTTCCATGCTGCTCTTGATCACGAAACATCTTTCTCTCAGCTGCAAGGATTGGCGTTTCACTTCTGTTTAATACTGAACTTTGTACAGCCTTTGTGCCTTTTCCCTGAATACAAAAATATATGCCATTGAAAATTGTCACTGGCAAAATTACCTTTTTTGAAATTGTTGAGGGTAAGTTATAGAATTTACTCTTTTCAAAAGTTTGGATGCTCCATTGAATATTTGTGTCAAATCCTCTTGTCAAGGTTTATCTGCTGACTTTTTTTTCCTTTAAATTTGTAATTTCACAAATCTAATGCGACATAAAAGCATCTTCAACTGCCATAATTTGAAATGGAAATGATAAGGGGCTGCATCCTTAAATTAGTTTAGCCACTTTGCCTTGAAATTCCAAACTAAAGTCTCTGCATCACAAATTAATGTTTTCTTTCCAATCTTCTGCCCCTCAGAGGAGGCTGTCTCCTACTCACCTTCTCATGCTGTCTGTTAAGTGAATGGGACCTGCGTGATTCTCCACCAGACTTTAACCAGTCTCTATCATCCTGTTCTTTAACAGTAAAAGTTGTGAAGATGTTGTGGTTCTTTTCATATGGCACAATCCTTTTTCTTTGAAGTGGAGGTTCATGGATAGTACCCAGTTTACTGGACTGTACGCCTGCCCTTGGCGTTGAACCATGACTGTTCATGTGGCTGTTGGTAACTGATCTTGTCACTTCACCCTTCACTGTATCAGGACGTTTAGCCTCAAATTGCTTGTAATGTGAAAGATACTCTGATTCATATCTCTGCAAGAGATTTAATAAGATATTTTGCTCAAGTTAAGGTAGATTGTTTTGTTATTAGTTTTCTTATGTCAAACAAAAACTTTTAAAAAATATTACATGAGTCTTTCAAGGCTCATTGTTGCCATAGACCCTTATTTGAGCCCTTGAAAGTGGTAAATGTAGTAAACAAAGGCTAATTAGTGCTCAAGAAGAAACAGCCTCTCTACAAAAATGTACAATACAATAGTACAAAATAAAGTGATGGTTTCTTTATTTGAGACATTTTCTAACAAGGAGAGTTGCTGCTGTGCAAATTTCCATAATTATCAAAAATGGAGAAGCTTAAAACAAATTTTTTTTCTTTAACTTGCATTGCAAGCAGATAGACAACAGAGCACACATTAAATTTTAATTGCCTTCATGCAGTCATCTCTTGTACTTCAGAGATCTCAGGAATAACAATATAACAACCCATTGAATGCTCACATCCAGAGAGATATGGAAATTCTCCATGTTTCAACAGTAAGTTTGCAAATTTCTAATGTCACCATCATCACTTCAGAATGATACAATATGCTTAATTTCTGTTGTAAATTTAATTAGGCTAATCATGAAATCAACTTCACTACAGACACAATCTAATTACAGGAACTTTAATTAGTGAGAAAAAAAGCGTTCGTTCGATTAATTTTACACATCAAATGTAAAGCAATCAGAATTCTCGATCTAGGAAAGATCATATTGTGGGAAAGTTGAAGGTTCATTTAGACATACCACAACATTGAAATACTTTGAAAATTTTAAACACTTTTTTATGTCTATGTAAACCATTCCTTTAAGATCTTAATGCTTCTCAATCAATAGATATACAATCGTGAAAGATCATTTTGAAGAAAGAGCGATCTCAATATCATTCTAGGAGGCGAAAGTTAATGTCAACAACGAAAACATGGAACATGCTGTTGATCATATTGAGTCACATACCTTTGAGCGCGGCGCTGGCATTTCAGAAAAGTCGGATCCTCACCAAAACAGACTAAACGCATCAAAAAATCTATATGGCAGCCAGAAAGACCATTTATAGAGGAATCAAGGCCAAGAGTAGAAATAAAACAACGAAACAGATGGAGTATAAACACGCTTTGACTTTGGCGTACGCTTGGCAACAAAAGACGCTACGATCAGCTGATAACGAAAACGAGGCCATCTTCGCGGACATGCGCATTTGCACCAAGGATGAGCTAACATGGCGGATTCACCTGGCCTGTCACCAACTAGCCGCTCTGAAACAGATCAAGTCTTGCTTCAGAAAAAGAACAATGAGAGCGGAGAAAGGAAGAACTACGAAAGGGACAGATCACTTAATGCTGTTAGCACCGCGGCTCGCACAAAGCTCTCACAGCTGATCGATCTGGCCACACAAGCTGAGGAACAAACTGATTATAAGAGAGTTGTGGACACTGTTTTTGATTCGGTGAGAAAATATATTTTTGTCTAAATATCCTCTGAGGACTAATTTTACAATACGCTGCAGCTCCAAAGCTGAATTTGCATCTAAAAAGGAAAGTTTTGTGTCAGGATCTTAGTTAGTTGTACGTGATAAAACTGGATAATTAAATATCGCAGAGAAAGAAATCAAATATCGTGTTCTTCCGCATATTTACCCGCGCGCGTGATGTTGATTACATGTCATTTTGTTTTTCAGTAAACGATCAATCAAGTAACATATGTTTTTGCCAATTTTATTCTCGCATTTTTTAGCTTGTTGGTGGAGTTTTTGATCTCGAAGCCCGGTTTACCATCAAAGATTCATCGGATTTGATAATATTATTAGAGCTTTTGGAGCACTGCAATATTTCACTTAAGGTAAGAACCCACACTTTAATTCCCGCTTACGCCCTAGCTCCGCGGTCTCTCCATATTTTTCTTTTCTTTTATCTGATTCGTGAGTTCTTGGCAATTTCTCTTTGTGGCTTTTTGTTTATTTCCAAGGATACCGCACGGTAGAGAAAATATTGTGCTCTTCTCGTCAGCAGTTAATGAACATAAAATTTCTTAATTTCTTTGTTGAAGTGCCAGTTCCTCTTCGTTGCGAATGATAAATTATGCTTTCTAATAAATTAACCTCATCCTTGAGATATCTCTGTATTGAGATGTTTTTGTTTATTTCATTAGCACCATTAATATTTTTTATGTTTACAATACCGTATAATTATTTGAACATTGAAGTACAGGTTTACGCTTCGGAAAGGAAACAACATGGCTTTTGATTTTAATTTATGTATTTGAAATCTGCTTTGATTCTAGGTGAGACTGTTTACATGTGTGTATGTGGCAGTTTTTGTTTAATTACAGCCTAAAGTGTCAACTTCATTTTCAAATATTTACCATTGGAAAAGTAGTCTTAGTTTGCTTTGTTACTTAGTGTCTGCTAGATTTTAGTCTTTTCACATTTCCCTCAGAATTTATACTTTTTGCGGGAAACTAAAAGCTATTTAGACATGTACATGTTGAATAGAAAAAGATCGTGGACCTCTCAAGCAAGACATCCATATTTATGAATTAAGGACACCTGGAAAAGTAGCCTGATTCTCCACCTATTACTCAATAAGATAAGAGACATTGGGTATACAAAGCAAACTTAATAAATGCACTATAAATTCTTAGATATCTGATATATATATTTTTTATTTTGTATATTTATTTCATTCATTTATTTTTATTTTTTTAAATTTAGATGTATTAACTCATAAATATCAGGAGAATTGAAGACATTCTCAGCTAGTTTATTCTGTTTTTTTTTCCCCCTTAAAGTATGTTTCATACATTGTTTGTTGCTTTCCTTGTATTTCCATTTCATTTTCTATTTGTCTTACACAGTAGTTTAAAAAGTCATCCCTGTTAACCTCACAAGAGATTTTACTACTATAGTGGAAAGATTGCACCAGGAAATCATTTTTTAAGAATATAATTTGAACAGGAAATGTTCTTGAACTGCTGCCAAAGCTTAAATTGATTTGAATCTATGGTTTTATTTTTAAGAATACAGCATTTTTCTAGAAGTTTTGGTGTCTTTCTATCATTTAGATATTATGTTGTCTTCTTCCACAGGTTGAAATTCTTGGATTGCTTATTGCAATTTTAAGAAAAAGCATTCCTAACTTACAAGCAGCTACTAAAATTGGACTAATTGAAAGAGTGCTATGCCGGCTCTCACAGGAAGGGGAAGTTGTTGTGGCAGGTGATTACTGAACAATTAAACACATTTGCTTAACCCTAGTAATATTTGATGTCACTCAACTGTAATCCCTAATGCTTAGAATAATGGTTCTTTGCCCTTGTTTCAGGTTGAAGATTTATGACCACCACTTCATTTTTCTCACCACACTAATGCATTTTCTACCAAACTGTTGACTAAAATTCACAAACATGACAAATATATTAGCTATAGGGATTTATTTTGATATAAATGTATAACCAAACTCTTTTTCAACAACAAGGAAATGTAAGTAAAAGATTTGGAGAAATTTCAGAAGATTAAATAATTGTTACCACCAATTGTAAAATTTAGGCATCTGCCTTGTACCAGTGCAGTTTTAGGTAATGACTGAGGAAGTAAAAGACAGTAACAAGAAATAAATAAAATGATAACAATGACAGTATCAACAGAAAAAATAGAACAGGATAAAATGCTGCCCCCCCCCTTCTTTTACAAAGGCTGGTGACCACTTACAGTACAGAGGTGACCTTTTATAGAGTTCACGTACAGGGGGAGGGGGGAGGTAATACTGGTTTTTATTGTATACAAATTCTTGGATGAGGACTGCATGTGTATTTTCAATTTTTTAATTTTTGTTATTACTGTTTATCTTGTTTTCAGACAAACTGGTGGAACTTCTTGGAATCTTGTCCAGTTACAGTATTACAGTCAAAGAGCTGAAGACTTTGTTTGTCACTTTGAAGGGTGTGAATGGGAAATGGGTGAGCTTTAGATCTTCTTTTGCTAGAAATTGAAATGTAACAAACACTAAAGATTAAGATTTTTTTTTCTTTAAGGTTCCTGTTTTGGACCATTGCCAGTCTATGATTATCAAAATAAGAAGTTGAATTTAACATATTTGTTTTTTGATTAGTTCTTTTTTATATTTATTGGAGAACAAATGTATAGATCATATTACCATAAACAGCTCTGCAAACTTTTTTCTCTGTCTTTGATAAAATGTCTGAGGTCTATGTTTCCATTTATCTGTTCAGTAATAGATCACAGGGTAAGAATGTCAGTGACGCACTAGTAGGTGCGCCTTCTATACTACTTTTTGGTCCTTACCACATTTTCACCCTGCCTGTATGGATGCAGAGCAACATAGAATTTTTTCATGAAGCATTTACTAATAATTTAAATTATGAGATGTTGATGATGTTTTGGGTTAACACAACCACATGTGCCTGTATTTTCAGCCCTGTCATACGGTCAAGCTGTTAACCATCTTGAAGCTGATGTTGGATAAACATGGTCCTGATGTTTATTTCAACTTTTCTGGTCAAGAGGGAGGGGTGAGTGGCCATGTTGTTTTTTTTTTAATGAAAGATGTGGAATTTAATTTTTTCAAATATGGATTAAGACACCAATCTAAATTCTATTTGTGCTGAGGTCAAACCATAGTGTAGTGACAGAGAAAAATTTTTTAAAGTAGAGGGTAGTTTCTCAGTCATGATTTAGTAAGAGTTGTTTTATGCTTACCATGACAGGCCATCACTTTGCCACCCATTTCAAAATGGCCACTGCAGTCAGGCTTTACATTTTCAACTTGGCTATGCCTTGATACCTCTCACCTGGCTAATGCGGAGAAGTGCAAGCCTTACTTGTACTGGTAAGTCCATTTGTTCAATTTTATTTTTATCATTTAGGTTGAGAAAAAAGATAAAGGAGGTGGTTTTTAAAGCAAAATGTGTTTTGAGTCTTAAGAGTTGTCATTTCAAGCAAAAATTAGTGATAGTTACTTATAATTGTTTGTGGTTCAACTTTTTCATTGCAGTTTTCGGACCGGTAAGGGACTAGGTTATTCTGCACATTTCTCAGGACCCATGCTGGTCTTAGAATGTGCTGTGAAAACTGGAAAAAAAGAAAACAAAGTGCTTCATCACCTGGTTAAGTTTGAATTCCATCCTCAAAAGGTAAAAATATCATGCAACACCATTTATAACATAGCTAGTAAATTTGTGTAATCAAATTCAATAGTGCAAGTGTGCTTCATATTCCTATTGTGTACGCTCATGACATCAGCAAACAAATCCCTTGAGAAAAAAAATTTCCATTGGGTTGAAAATGTTATAAAACAATTGGTTCATACGTCAGCTGTGTGTTCATCAAGATATGAAGCACTTGGGAAATTTGGAGAGCACTCAAGAAGCTAGACGCATCTTTCGTGCTCTCCAAACTTCCTGCGTGCTTCATATCTTGATGAACGCATGCTGATGTATGAACCAATTGTTAATTTGTACCTTTCCTTGAGTTGTACTCGCAGACACTGCTGTTGAGATTAGCTAACCTAAATGTATGTGTACACTTGTTTTCAATGCAGTCATTTGTATTCTACTTTTTTTGTCTCTTGTCCTCTTTCAGTGTCATTTTATATACTATATTTCCTTGGAAAACATATTCTTTTTACAAAGACATGGCAACAGTCACAAGTTAACCATGCCACAAACAATTGCATCAAATAATCTTTTAATTTAAACTTGACAATTTTAGTCTGTTTGTGGTTTTTTTTTGTCACACAGGTAGATAACAATGCTAGAAAATTTATAATTAAGCTTACTTTAGTACAACTAAGAAATTGATCACTGCTTTCTTTCCAGTGGTATATGGTCACTGTTGTACATGCGTACAACAGATTTCATTCCAGTGAGATCCGATGTTTTGTGAATGGTAAAGTAGTTTCCACTGGGGAGACCACTCTGGTGCATGCTAATGAGGTAATGAAGCAACAAGGATACTTTTTCAA